CCCTCACCTCGTGTATGTCTGAGCTGGAAACTCACTTCACCTCCTGTATGTCTGAGCTGGAAACTCCACTCACCTCCTGTGTGTCTAAGATGGAAACTCCACTCACCTCCTGTATGTCTGAGCTTGAAACTCACCTCGCCTCTGTATGTCTGAGCTGGAAACTCCCCTCACCTCCTGTATGTCTAAGCTGGAAACTCCCTTTACCTCATGTATGTCTGAGCTAGGAACTCCGCTCACCTCGTGTATGTCTGAGCTAGGAGCTCCCCTCACCTCATGTATGTCTGAGCGAGAAACTGCCCACACCTCATGTATGTCTGAGCTAGAACCTCCGCTCACCTCCTGTATGGCTGAGCTGGAAACTCCGCTCACCTCATGTATGTCCGAGCTGGAAACTCCACCCCTCACCTCCTGTATGTCTGAGCTGGAAACTCCCCTCACCTCATGTATGGCTGAGCTGGAAACTCCGCTCACCTCCTGTATGTCTGAGCTGGAATCTCCCCTCACCTCATGTATGGCTGAGCTGGAAACTCCGCTCACCTCATGTATGTCTGAGCTGGAAACTCCACCCCTCACCTCCTGTATGTCTGAGCTGGAAACTCCCCTCACCTCATGTATGGCTGAGCTGGAAACTCCGCTCACCTCATGTATGTCTGAGCTGGAAACTCCACCCCTCACCTCCTGTATGTCTGAACTAGGAACTGCACTCACCCCATATATGTCTGAGTTAGGAACTCACCTCATCTCATGTATGTTTGAGCGAGAAACTGCCCACACCTCATGTATGACTGAGCTAGAAACCTCGCTCACCTCATGTATGTCTAAGCTGGAAACTCCGCTCACCTCATGTATGTCTGAGCTAGGAACTGCACTCACCTCATGTATGTCTGAGCTGGAAACTCCCCTCACCTCTGTATGTATGAGCTGGAAACTCCCCACACCTCCTGTATGTCTGAGCTGGAAACTCACCTCGCCTCTGTATGTCTGAGCTGGAAACTCCCCTCACTTCCTGTATGTCTGAGCTGGAAACTCCCCACACCTCCTGTATGTCTGAGCTGGAAACTCCCCTCACCTCCTGTATGTCTGAGCTGGAAACTCACCTCGCCTCTGTATGTCTGAGCTGGAAACTCCCCTCACTTCCTGTATGTCTGAGCTGGAAACTCCCCACACCTCCTGTATGTCTGAGCTGGAAACTCCCCTCACCTCCTGTATGTCTGAGCTGGAAACTCACCTCGCCTCTGTATGTCTGAGCTGGAAACTCCCCTCACCTCATGTATGTCTGAGCTGGAAACTCACCTCGCCTCTGTATGTCTGAGCTGGAAACTCCCCTCACCTCCTGTATGTCTGAGCTGGAAACACACCTCACCTCTGTATGTCTGAGCTGGAAACTCCCCTCACCTCATGTATGTCTGAGCTGGAAACTCCCCTCACCTCCTGTATGTCTGAGCTGGAAACTCCCCACACCTCCTGTATGTCTGAGCTGGAAACTCACCTCGCCTCTGTATGTCTAAGCTGGAAACTCCGCTCACCTCATGTATGTCTGAGCTAGGAACTGCACTCACCTCATGTATGTCTGAGCTGGAAACTCCCCTCACCTCTGTATGTATAAGCTAGGGGCTCCCCTCACCTCCTGTATGTATGAGCTGGAAACTCACCTCACCTCTGTATGTCTGAGCTGGAAACTCCCCACACCTCCTGTATGTCTGAGCTGGAAACTCACCTCGCCTCTGTATGTCTGAGCTGGAAACTCCCCTCACTTCCTGTATGTCTGAGCTGGAAACTCCCCACACCTCCTGTATGTCTGAGCTGGAAACTCCCCTCACCTCCTGTATGTCTGAGCTGGAAACTCCCCTCACCTCCTGTATGTCTGAGCTGGAAACTCACCTCGCCTCTGTATGTCTGAGCTGGAAACTCCCCACACCTCCTGTATGTCTGAGCTGGAAACTCCCCTCACCTCCTGTATGTCTGAGCTGGAAACTCCCCTCACCTCTGTATGTCTGAGCTGGAAACTCCCCTCACCTCATGTATGTCTGAGCTGGAAACTCACCTCGCCTCTGTATGTCTGAGCTGGAAACTCCCCTCACCTCATGTATGTCTGAGCTGGAAACTCACCTCGCCTCTGTATGTCTGAGCTGGAAACTCCCCTCACTTCCTGTATGTCTGAGCTGGAAACTCCCCACACCTCCTGTATGTCTGAGCTGGAAACTCCCCTCACCTCCTGTATGTCTGAGCTGGAAACTCCCCTCACTTCCTGTATGTCTGAGCTGGAAACTCCCCACACCTCCTGTATGTCTGAGCTGGAAACTCCCCACACCTCCTGTATGTCTGAGTTGGAAACTCCCCTCACCTCCTGTATGTCTGAACTGGAAACTCACCTCGCCTCTGTATGTCTGAGCTGGAAACTCCCCTCACCTCCTGTATGTCTGAGCTGGAAACTCCCCTCACCTCCTGTATGTCTGAGCTGGAAACTCCCTACACCTCCTGTATGTCTGAGCTGGAAACTCACCTCACATCTGTATGTCTGAGCTAGGAGCTCCCCTCACCTCCTGTATGTCTGAACTGGAAACTCACCTCGCCTCTGTATGTCTGAGCTGGAAACTCCCCTCACCTCGTGTATGTCTGAGCTGGAAACTCACTTCACCTCCTGTATGTCTGAGCTGGAAACTCAGCTCACTTCCTGTGTGTCTGAGCTGGAAACTCCCCTCACCTCGTGTATGTCTGAGCTGGAAACTCCACTCACCTCCTGTGTGTCTAAGATGGAAACTCCACTCACCTCCTGTATGTCTGAGCTTGAAACTCACCTCGCCTCTGTATGTCTGAGCTGGAAACTCCGCTCACCTCCTGTATGTCTAAGCTGGAAACTCAACTCATCTCCTGTATGTCTGAGCTGGAAATTCCCCTCACCTCACGTTTGTCTGGGCTGGAAACTCCTCTCACCTCATGTATGTCTGAGCTGGAAACTCCCCTCATCTCCTGTATGTCTGAGCTAGAAACTCAACTCACCTCACGTATGTCTGAGCTAGAAACTCCTCTCATCTCCTGTATGCCTGAGCTGGAAACTCCCCTCGCCTCATGTATGTCTGAGCTAGGAACTGCATTCACCTCATGTATGTCTGAGCTAGGAACTGCATTCACCTCATGTATGTCTGAGCTAGGAACTGCATTCACCTCATGTATGTCTGAGCTAGGAACTGCATTCACCTCATGTATGTCTGAGCTAGGAACTGCATTCACCTCATGTATGTCTGAGCTAGGAACTGCATTCACCACCCTCTTGTGATGTCGAGCAGTATTCACCTTATTGTGTATTTAGTTCGGACATGGAGTAATTGTTCCGGAACAGCGATGCCAATGTTGTCCTTCATTCCCCCACGACATGCGCTGTTGTGCTATGTCAAATATAGAACCTAGGACTTCTTGTAGTGATGCACGTGTTTGTGTCCAGCGGTATTTACATGCACAGTGGAACCCCGCTTATCCGGAAACCTGCATTTTGAGCGAATCGTCAGGATAGACGAATTTCCTGATTTACGAATCCCTTAGTGACTGTTACTCAAACCTCCGTTTAGTGTCAAATTCCTAATTGATATTAAACGCTCAATTAAAATCGAATTAAAACGCGAAAATCCATCCTTCCTAACGGTACCTTAGTCAGCTACTGCTACTGAACCTTCTGATACATGCTAATGGGAAGTGATGTCCTGGACATGTTTGTCTGACAGTGTAGCATCTCGCTAGGAAGTAGCAACGAAATTATGTGATTGCCGGCGTTTTTAGTTCAGATGAAATCGTGCAAATACCAGAGGAGTCTTATTTCATGACTATTTTATCTCATCAGGGGAGAAGACTGTTCACTTCTCACCGACAAATTAGCCTGTCCCTTTCAAGGCCGTCACACCGAGGCAGTGGGCTGATCGTTGGGAAACCAGTGTGGTCTGATTATTTTCAAACTGTTAGATAATATGTACATGGTAACGCAATGTGGGTAATCACGGCAACCTCTCTTGGTCTTCGAGAAAGGTTTCTACACCGTTGGGATGATGATGATGATGGTGATGATGATGATGTGATGATGATGATGATGATGATGATGATGATGATGATTTCTACACAGTGCCCTCAGCAGGCCAGCGGCATTAGAACATCATAGAATATTCAACCTAAGTCTGCGGTAAACCGGAAGTTTAGACATTGACACTTGCTGGCGACTATTGACATTAAATAGTACTACATTCCTGACGACGCTGAGGGTAGACAACACACCAGATATAAACTGAGGTGAAAAACAAAGTATATCGAGTTTGGTTTTGTATGTAATTAAAAATTAAAAGAACTATTTAACCATGCAACCATATATTTATCTATTGTTTCTGCAAGAGTTTGTAAAATTTAATCAGGGGCCGGGTAATATGGTTCAATGACGACTGGAATTAGAAATAAATTTGCAACCGCATGTCCCTACCATGTTTCAGATGCACATTTGTGCCGAAAAAAGCCAATTTATTGATATTCAAAGAGAAGATATCAAAGCTACCTATCAGCAGTTGTGTATTATGAGATTTATTTTTACTTTTTAAGTTTTAATTCACATTATATTCTAAAAAAGCATGTTGAAGTATTCTTTGAGTGCTGACAAGCGCCAGTACAGCTCTTTATAGCTAACAATTAGGGCGGTCGTGTAGACTAGTGGTTAAAGCTCGTCACGCCGAAGATCCGGGTTCGATTCCCGACATGGGTACAATGTGTGAGGCCCATTCTTGTGTCTCCCCCGATATATTGCTGGAATATTGCTAAAAGCGGCGTAAAACCATACTCACTCACTACAGCTAACAACTGAAAATCTAACCCATGTCAAAATCATCTGAGAGATACATGTATAGTTACTTTTGCCCCTCAGTATATTTTGGCATCCACTCGTCGTCCACGTGTCGCGAGACTTAAAGGGTTATGCCATCGTCTGCATCAGTCCCATTAGACAAAACACCATCAAGAAAATTACCCACTCTGGTCATTAGCGTTCAGGTTCTGGAAACAAAAATATCGTTGTGTCGTGTGTCGTGTGTCGTCGTGCTTTCAGAAAGAGGTTTATGTGGATGTTAAAGGCCAAAGCTATTCACCAAATGTTCTTCAGGATAATTAGTAGCAGCGTAACTGTCTCCGACTAATAGGTTGTTTTAGTATCGGGTCTGTACGGTTAATGAATCATGATGCCCCACTTTGTATCAAATATAAAAACTCTGGAAATTTTTTTTAAAAAAAGATGAAACACGCTTTGAACGATCAAAATCGAGTATTTTTCAAGTTCATGGTAGAATAGACATGGTGTATATGTCAGCCATCACTTGCTTGATATCGGTGTCAGAACCTACACCGAAACGTCGCTCTTAATTGTAATAAAGAAGTTGTTCATCCATAAATTCTCATCCTTTTTTTATTACTCAAACTTGTAAATGCCTATCAAAGAAGTTACTTACATATTTCACTTTGACATAGAGACATTAACTGACGTATTTCACTTTCACGTAGAGACATTTACTTACATATTCCACTTTCACATAAAGACATTAACTGACGTTTTCACTTTCACGTAGAGACTTTAACCTACATATTTCACTTTCACACACAGACATTTACTTACATATTTCACTTTCACATACAGACATTAACTTACATATTTCACTTTGACATACAGACATTAACTTGCATATTTCACTTTCACATACAGACATTAACTTACATATTTCACTTTCACATAAAGACATTTACTTACATATTTCACTTTCACATACAGACATTAACTTACATATTTCACTTTGACATACAGACATTTACTTACATATTTCACTTTGACATATAGACATTTACTTACATATTTCACTTTCACATACAGACATTAACTTACATATTTCACTTTGACATACAGACATTTACTTACATATTTCACTTTCACATACAGACATTTACTTACATATCTCACTTTGACATACAGTCATTTACTTACATATTTCACTTTGACATACAGACATTTACTTACATATTTCACTTTGACATACAGACATTTACTTACATATTTCACTTTCACATACAGACATTTACTTACATATTTCACGTTCACATACAGACATTAACTGACGTATTTCACTTTCACGTAGAGACATTTACTTCAAAATTTCAATTTGACATACAGACATTTACTTACATATTTCACTTTGACATACATACATTAACTTACCTTTTTCACTTTCACATAAAGACATTTACTTACATATTTCACTTTGACATACAGACATTTACTTACATATTTCACTTTGACATACAGACATTAACTTACCTTTTTCACTTTCACATAAAGACATTTACTTACATATTTCACTTTCACATAAAGACATTAACTTACATATTTCACTTTCACATACAGACATTTACTTACATATCTCACTTTGACATACAGACATTTACTTACATATTTCACTTTGACATACAGACATTTACTTACATATTTCACTTTGACATACAGACATTAACTAACATATTTCACTTTCACATACAGACATTAACTTACATATTTCACTTTGACATACAGACATTAACTTACATATTTCACTTTGACATACAGACATTTACTTACATATCTCACTTTGACATACAGACATTTACTTTCATATTTCACTTTCACGTAGAGACATTTACTTACATATTTCACTTTGACATACAGACATTAACTAACATATTTCACTTTCACATACAGACATTAACTTACATATTTCACTTTGACATACAGACATTTACTTACATATTTCACTTTGACATACAGACATTAACTGACGTATTTCACTTTCACGTAGAGACATTTACTTACATATTTCACTTTCACATACAGACATTAACTTACATATTTCACTTTGACATACAGACATTTACTTACATATTTCACTTTCACATACAGACATTTACTTACATATTTCACTTTCACATACAGACATTTACTTACATATTTCCTTTTACATACAGACATTAACTTACATATTTCCCTTTGACATACAGACATTTACTTACATATTTCACTTTGACATACAGACATTAACTTACATATTTCACTTTGACATACAGACATTAACTTACATATTTCACTTTGACATACAGACATTTACTTACATATTTCACTTTCACATACAGACATTTACTTACATATTTCACTTTCACATATAGACATTTACTTACATATTTCCTTTTACATCAATCACTTACAACATGTACATGTATATACGATGTTATCGACTCGGCTTATTTAATAGTCTGTCTTACAGACCCTGATACAAATATATATCAAATACAGCCCATGCAAGTCTATAATGTTTGGCAAGTCTAGATCACTGCAGTATCTGAAAATGAAGAGAGTCACTGGGCTCCTTTTTATTATATTTTTATTAAGATAACTGAACAACTGTTTTTTTATGTACGATATGTTCATTTCAGAGACTAGATGTTAGTCTACTTATTTAACTATATTTATGAATATGTTCAGAAAAATGTTCGAATATACTCAGACAGTTTATTCTTCGTTGTTTTATTCTTGAAATAATGTTTTCTGTCTTTTATTACCAAAAGACGGTAAAAGATGGTAATTATTGTTACCCTGCCTGATGCTCGGCATTAAGGAGCCAAAACAAGGAGTCGGCCGGCTCGGAGTCCGTATACAACACACACACACACACACACACACACACACACACACACACACACACACACACACACACACACACACTCTCTCTCTCTCTCTCACTCACTCACTCACTCACACACACGTGCATGCAATAATCTTAACGCGACGTTAACCCCCATTCCCCCATTTCACGTCACCCTCTCTTTTTTTCTTCACCTTATACTTCGTTATTCTTGGTCTTTTATTTGTTACTGTCTGTCTTCTTCGTTGCATTCTTCACTGTCTTATTCTTGATTAAAACACTATTTATTTTCAGAAAGGAATGAGGTCTATTAGGTCATTTAATCATTAATATGAGCACATTGTACGTAAGATAATCAAATTAGATAATTCTACCTATTGTTTACAAATATCACGATGCATAAGTATACAATATGCAAGTCACACATAAATACACAGATACATATACCGGCACACCCATGCATATATACATGTTTGTTTGTTGTTTAACGCCGCACTCAGCAATATTCCAGCTATATGGTCTGTAGATAATCGAGTCTTGACCAGACAATCCAGTGATTGATATCATGAGCATCAATCGACGCAATTGAGATCGATGACATGCATCAACCAAGTCAGCGAGCCTGACCACCCAATCCCGTTAGTCGCCTTTTACGACAATATAACCAACCAACCAACCAACCAATCATATTTATATCAACGAAAAAGATTCAGAGTGACAAAACACTCTTCACAAGATTGTATGACAAGAGGGGTGACTTCAACTTTCCATTTGTCAATTGTCCCTTCGTGTCGAGCAATATTCCTGCTGCTCCAGTCCTAGGTCTCTACATATCACAGCATTTGAGGTACATCGAGCATGCTCTCTCTGTCAAGATATCAAGGAGATTCATACCACTCTTTGCTCAGAAGTTGTTCGATCAAGGTTACAACATTCAAGGCCCCAGTAAAGCTTTCAAAACGAATGTTGTAGAAATGTGGAAGACATTTCCAAATTTGATGCATCGGTGACCAAAATGACCTTTTTGATCATATGTTCCCTTTTTTCAGGTGCACAATTAGATTTGTTTGTTTGTTGTTTAACGCCGCACTCAGCAATATGCAACATGCAACATGCAACATGCATCAAACAAATTAGCGAGCCTGACCACCTGTTCCCGTTAGTCGCCTCTTACGACAAGCATAGTCGCATTTTGTGGCAAGCACGGGTTGCTGAAGACCTATTCTACCCCGGATCTTCACGTGTCAGGTGAACAATTTATTTGACTTTGCATGTGTTTGTGACGGGTGCCATCGTTGGGGCAGGATACGCTCACCTTCCGTGAGCACATGGTATCATCAGTATTTGATAGTGATTCATAAACACATGCTCGGAATCGTACAATCGTCTCTTGTTTTTTACAGAGATTTCTTATGAATATGGAAAGGGTTTGTCACATTTAATGCATAGAAGTGTTTCGGGGTCTTTGAGTCAATGGCATACAGACACGGATGTTTCTGTATCTCAGGAACCAATAAATTTTCATTTATTTGTGATTTTGACATCGTGTCTTCTTCAATAAAGATTTATTTGTCAAACCACGTGTTTTTTCACCTTGAAATGACATCATAAAATGGGATTTTTTAAAGCCTTGGGAAAGCAAGCAGTAAAAATCGCTTTTTTCCGATTCCAAAAAGAACATTGCCGTCGCGCTGTCGCTGCACTGGTTTTAATCGTATGGGGAGGGCTTAACGCTCTGTTATGCTCTACGACGCCTGTAATGTTGTGTGGCGTTCTGTGATGCTCTGTGATGATATGTGGTCTTCTGCTCTGCTCTCTGACACAGCCAGTGGCCTTTTGTGGCCCTCGTGGACGCTCATTTCCCGTGGGATTAGATAACTTGTGGGATCATCAACACAAATTAATGACCGTGTCGTTATTTGTCGCACCAATTTCAATTTTGACCAGGGCCGGCCATCGCAGAGGTCTCCCATACTCCGCAGGGAGCCTTACAGCGCTGAGCCGTGACCAGTGGCAAAAGCGTTTCGTTATTTCAATACAAAGGATGGAATTGAGTTCCTTGTTACCATAGCAATCGATATCTATCAAAGACTGTTATTGGTCCCAGTGCTCCGAGCTGCCACAATGGTCCTTTCAGCATGAGATGCTGCGGACAGTGACTTCTAATATTCAATAAACACGTTTCAGTTGGAGGCCTGTCTGTTGTGCGGCAAATTGAGATGGGCGTTTTAGCAATGTAACCAAACGTTTTCGGTTCTTGTCTGATGCGGACTTATTCAACTGTTTACCACAAACTTGTAGTCATGTTAGCTCGTATTTAGCTTCCTGATCACCGTTTTGTTTTGCATTATACTCTCTACAAATCTCGCTATTTCAAAGCACATGTGATGACGTTATGAAAACTGTTTGCGCGTTAAATTATTGTTATTTGTTGTTGTTGTTGTTGTTGTTTAACGCCTCACTCAGCAATACTTCATCTATATGGCGGCTGTCTGTAAATAATCGAGCAGACAATCTAGTGATTAGCATCGATCTTCGCGATGGGGATACGATGGTCTGCATCCATCAAGTCAGCGAGCCTGATCCTCTGGTCCATTTAATCGCCTCTTGCGACAAGCAAAAATAACAATAATTTAAAGCTTAGAGACCCGTTAAAGAAGATTACCTCTTCTAAGGACCACCTCTACAAAGGACCACCTCTCCTGATGACCACCTCTACCATGGACCACCTCTATTAAGGACCCCCTATATTGTGGACCGCGTTTACCAAGGACCACCTTTACTAAGGACCCCTTCTATTGTGCCCCCCCTCAACTAAGGCCCCCCTCTACTAAGTAACCACCTACTAAGGACCACCTCTACTAAGGACCACCTACTCAGGACCACCTCTACTAAGGACCACCTACTCAGGACCACCTCTACTAAGGACCACCTACTAAGGACCACCTCTACTAAGGACCACCTCTGCTAAGGACCACCTACTCAGGACCACCACTACTAAGGACCACCTCTACTGAGGACCACCTAGTAAGGACCACCTCTACTAAGGACCACCTACTCAGGACCACCTCTACTAAGGACCACCTACTCAGGACCACCACTACTAAGGACCACCTCTACTGAGGACCACCTACTAAGGACCGCCCCTACTAAGGACCACCTACTCAGGACCACCTCTACTAAGGACCACCTACTCAGGACCACCTCTACTAAGGACCACCTACTAAGGACCACCTCTACTAAGGACCACCTACTCAGGACCACATCTGCTAAGGACCACCTACTCAGGACCACCACTACTAAGGACCACCTCTACTGAGGACCACCTACTAAGGACCACCTCTACTAAGGACCACCTACTCAGGACCACCTCTGCTAAGGACCACCTACTCAGGACCACCACTACTAAGGACCACCTCTACTGAGGACCACCTACTCAGGACCACCTCTACTAAGGACCACCTACTCAGGACCACCTCTACTAAGGACCACCTACTAAGGACCACCTCTTCTAAGGACCACCTACTCAGGACCACCTCTACTAAGGACCACCTACTAAGGACCACCTCTACTAAGGGCCACCTACTAAGGACCACCTCTACTAAGGACCACCTACTAAGGACCACCTCTACTAAGGACAACCAAGTCAGGACCATCTCTACTAAGGACCACCTACTCAGGACCACCTCTACCAAGGACCACCTTCCCAGGACTACCTCTACCAAGGACCACCTACTAAGGACCACCTCTACCAAGGACCACCTACTAAGGACCGCCTCTACCAAGGACCACCTTCTTAAGACCACCTCTACTAAGGACCACCTACTAAGGACCACCTCTACTAAGGACCACCTACTAAGGACCACCTCTACTAAGGATCACATCTACCAGGGGCTACCTACTAAGGACCACCTATTAAGGACCACCTCTACTAAGGACAACCTCTACCAACGACCACTTACTAAGGACCACCTCTACCAAGGACCACCTACTAAGCACCTCCTCTACTAAAGACCACCTCTACCAAGGACCACCCCCACTATGGACGATCTCCTCTTGTAACATATTCAATTGAGAAGGTTCCGAGGATCTTTCATGTCAGTTATTTCAAACAACATTAACTGACAGGCAAGAGAAAATACAACCCATGTTTGATGTGGCTAAACATGACACAAACACGAAAAGCTCATTCGATAGTGATGCGTTTGATACGCGTATCCTAGTTGAGTTTTGGAGCTTAGGTTTGCAGTGTTTCGGCGACTGATTTTGGCGAGTGGCGTTTTTATAACCTTTGTAATGTTTTGGTCAAATACAATGTTCAAGTGTGTACTGTTTTAGCAGTCTTAATCGAACATATATTTGTTCTCTGCAACATGCTTAGCGTAGCAGTACATAGCCAATCTTTGGCGACTTTGAGGACCACGTAACATTGCTCTGTGTGTCATCGCGTTGACCGTAGCTCATGCTGTCAACCTCTGGTTTGGTATGTCAATTAGTTACAGACTGCCATGTTTCCACACGTGGAATGTTCATTACTGTAGCGTAAACAGCATCCAGTCTCTAAAATATCCTAAACAGCAGCCCTCAGACTGAATCGGTGCGACGCATTTCCCAATAACAAGTTAGCAATACAGTGAAACCTCCTTGGTCCGAAGACAATAAGAGTAAACTGGTAAAGTGCATATCTCCACACGCAATGTATGCTCGTCGCCCACAGAGACAACTTCGGTTCAGTCAACGAAGGCGTACTTGAAAAGGATGAAAATAGCACAGAAACAATCACTCTCTCATACATAATTAACAAAAAGCTTTTTTACATGTGTCATACATAGGTGTGCGCTCAGTCTTACTACCAAGAAAATAGCCCCAAAATATTAAGATTCCAAACATTTTTGTTCAGTTAATTTTGGGGGTGCTGAAGGGAAAACTTTATACGAAAATGTGTGAAAAAGGGTTTCACTATAAAATCAGAATCAAACTTGAAATTAGAGAGAAATTTATAACTTGGTTATCCAAGCAGAAACAATGATCCAATCAATATTATTATTATATTTAAAAAAAGATATTTTCAAAAGTTAGTTTTACAAAACTATTCCACCATTCTATACTTTCAAGTATATTTCGAGAATGAAGAAATATAATTCTATATGAGCACTAAATTTCCCTCTTTAATAGATTGTAACATAGATTTCTTTAATAAGTTCTGGAGGGCACGGGTGGCACAGTCGTCTAAGGCGCCGCGATTCGCTGTGCAGAGTTGCGTCCCTTGGGCACGCCAGAAACCTATGATTGTGGGTTTGAATTCCAGTTCGCCCCGATTATGTTTCCAGGTTTGTCAGCACCATACCCGTGCTCGTGGGTTTCACCGAAGTTGTAAACGTCTGAGACCTGCATCACTTCGAGCTTTCCTCCCACATTAAGCTGACACGCCGCGATATCTTGAATAGTGTTAAAAGCGGCGTTAAACCCAACTCACTCACTTTACAAGTTCTGGTCGTCAGGTCATGTTCTATTTTGTCAGAGACAATACAAACGTCTCCGGGCGAGTGTTGTCCAAATAAAGATCAATGTTATTTTATATCATCCGGGGTAATTGTTATTTGTATTTCTGCAAAATATATGCTTGCAACAAAACAATTAAGTTATAGACAAATGTTTTGGTTTGTTGTTTAACGCCGCACTCGATACTGTCTTATGGCTGGCCCAGTGTAGTCGTAGCGCTGAGGTAGTCGTAACTCCCTAACTTTAACATAGGCTTACGACAGTCGTAGCTAAGATACTCCGTAACTCCCTAACTTTAACATAGACGTTAAGCGGCGTTAAACCCAACTCACTCACTTAACTCCCTTATGTTAACATAGGCTTACGACAGGCGTAGCGCTAAGATATTCCTTAACTCCCTTGCTTTAACATAAGTTTACGACAGTTGTAGAGCTAAGATAGTCGTAGTTCCCTTACTTTATCATATTCTTACGACAGTGTTAGCGCTACGATCACATCGCGGAACGTGGCCCAGGAACATATCCGAGGTCGACGGTGACATGTGTCCAGGCACAATGTCACCATACTAGTGTTTATCCAAAAAAGTGAAAAGAACGGAAATACTTGTGAAATTAGCGTAATTTCATACACACTCACTCATTCCAACATATACTCCCCCGATTATGTTCCTGGGTTTCACAGCACCATACCCGTGCTCGTGGGCTTCATCAACTGAGACCTGCATCACTTTCCTCCAACATCAACCTGAGACGCCGTGAAACTGGAATACTGTTAAAAGCAGCGTTAAACTCAACTCCCTGACTCTCTCACATGTCGCTCCACGTCAGCAAGGCCAGATTAAGCACCCTCAAAACAATGTTCATTAAAGAAAATGTCGCATTTATTAAAAACAACGTTTTTCGAGGCTTTATGCGTCCATCACTCACCATTGCGCTCGTTGACCGACATATACAGCATCACTCCATCAACCGCACGATGAAGCCACATCCTTTGCCACCTCCTTCCCCTCACCCAAAACACTGACGTGAGCATCAAAAACATCTCTGATTTACCCGTCGTACAACTCAACATAAATTCCAATTTCTCCACACTGAAAATACGTACAGCACGCGAATACGCCAGCGGTTAAGAGGATTTCAGCCGTAAATAACGTATAAGGATAGATCGCTGTAATTGTCACCTAGCAGAAGGAATTCTGTGAGATGGAGTTTGAGAGGTTTAGTTGTTCGAGGCGACGCGAGGGGAGTTTCTATCATCATGAAGCCTCCCACAGCTTGGGAATAAAAGAAGCCATGACAAGCCACTCCATCAACTGACAGCTCGATCACAAGCATTCGGAACAAGTCGGTTTTTTCCGTAACTGTGATCCAGCGATTCCGGAAATATGCAGGGACGGTCGATTTGGCTGTTAAACTGGTTACGCTGTTGCTGTTCGAAGCAAGCTCAGCGCTTTGGACTAACACGCGGCAATGTACAAATCTGTACCACTTCCGGTTATAGATGCGCATGCGCAGCGTCCTTAACTTTGTAAATGAAGATGGAGACATGTCGGCAACTCGAAAGATTAATATTTACGTTCACAATCATAACAACTTGCCCTACTGGTGATAATTCTGTCGAGAAAATGTTTTTGTTCATAAAAAAAACTTCACGTCATGAGCCGTTTTTGTTCTTTTCGATATCAAGGACCAGAGAGTTGCAACCTTCAAGAAGTCGTCAACCGCCCAGCAACGCGTTACAGTTGACAAGAGCCCAGGCATTGGGCTGTTTCGCACGCACGCACTCACGAACGCACGCACGCACGCACGTGAGTGAGTGAGTGAGTGAGTGCGTGCGTGACTGAGTGAGTGACTGAGTGAGTATATTTCAGTACTATCACAGCTGGGGTCACGAGAAATGGGCTTCACGCATTGTACCCATGTGAGGAATTGAACCCTGATCCCCGGTTTGACGTCAAACGCGTTAAGCACCCGTCCATCCCGCTGCCCGATCCGTTGGGAAGTACTCAGATTCCCTCCTACGTATGATTGCTGTTGATATGTCGACATCAGTGGAGAATGTGATCGTTTCAGTTGGTATAATCACCTGATAGTTCCCATTGAGTGAGTGAGTATGGTTTTACGCCGCATTTATTAATATTTCAGTAATATCACAGCGGGACACACCAGCAATTCACAACGTATATGCATGGGGGATAAACGTCTGAGACCCGCATCACTTCGGGCTTTCCTCCCACATTAAACTCACGCGCCGCGATATAACTGAAATACTGTTAAAAGCGGAGTTAAACCCAACTCACTCACTCACTGAATAGATATTAGATCTAATGTTACACACATTCATATACCAGCATAATGAATGTTCCTTTGCGGGAATAGAAATGCAAGTGAGTGAGTTGTGATTAACGCCGCTTTGCACAGTATTCAAGTTATATCACGGCGTTTCAGCTTAATAAGGGCGAAAATCCCGAAGTGACGTATGTCTCAGGCGTTTAAAGCACGGGTATGGTGCTGACAAACCTAGACAAAATAATCGAGGCGAACCCGGATTCAAACCCACGAAATGCCCATGGGACGAACTCTGCACAGCTTCCCCCCCCCAAAAAAAATAAAAAATAAAAAATAAAAATAAAAAAAAAAATAAAAAAAATAAAAATAAAAAAAATAAATAAATAAATACGTAAAGCTAATATTTTAGCACAAAACGAAATACGCATCCTCATTCCGTATTCCACATACCGCATTCCACATTCCGCATAAGCTTGTCGCATAAGAATCCGTACCGTTGGAATTCTAGCTTAACGTTAGAGAGGGTTGTTTATTGGTGGAAAGGGCATATAATTCAATTCCTTCAGATGCCCGTGTTACGGTATCGTTGTGCAGAGTTGCGTCTCTTAGTAACAGCAGTAATACCAGGATCTGCTTGTCTGTGTTATGAACTTGAGTATTGACCACATTACTACTCTTCGTATGTTAACACCAGATCATGCATGCGACTTCCAAGCTGTGATATCAATGTAACAAGCATACCGTTTCCAACGACGTCGCTCTGTCCCCCAATGTCCCCTAAACTCTCTCTCTCACTCTTGTCTCACCTCGATTTGATTATGAACAGACCGCTCAAAATATTAAACAACAAACAAACAAACCAGATTCCTTTGCTACCCCCGTGCACGTGGCCTGAATATCTTTCAAATAATGTCAACAATCAACTACGATGTTACCGCAATGTTTACGATGAAAGCCTCAATGCCATTGATACGTTTTGATTACCGCGACACGTAATAGCGGCGTACAAATCTATTCACTCACTCACGTACATATCCAATGAAACTCTTTCCCATTCTTTCTCTCCCCTTTCCCTCCCTTTTTTCGCCGTCCTACTTTCTGTCTTTCCTCTCCCGTCCACGTCTACATGCCCTGAGATTCATGTCCGTCCATCTTAATTCCCATTCCAGCATTTATTCGGCTCACGAATCGGAATTACCTAAAATTAAATTCAAAGCGAAACTTCGGTCCGTAGTAATATCATAATCGACATTTGGAACAACCCTTACTGACCAATCCTTCCTGTTGACTCGGGCTGTGAAGAAAGCCTATGACAAACCGTCTCCTGTAAATCACATATGCAATCTACAAGGACAGATTGAAATTGACACGAGTTTTCAAGCACATTGCGTCTCAATTTCCTGGGCTATGCAAATGTGAGGATCTTATTCATGATCGAGACGCCGATTTCCTTCCCTTGTCCGTGTAGATTAGGGAATGTCATTTATATCTCCCAATTTGAAGGCCCTTATGGGGAGACTGGTCCGGCTGTGTCCGGCGACAGTAACGACATAAGATGCCGCGACGGTATTGTCGACATCTACTCCAGGGTGTAGGCTGCGACGCTTTCATAAGAGTGAGTGAGTGAGTGAGTTGAATTTACCGCCGCCTTGATCAGTAGTGCAGTCAGCTTACGGCGTGTCAGCTTGAAGTGACGCAGAGGTTTACCAATTGTGTGAACCCGAAGGGGACGGTATGGTGTTTACAGACCAGGACACCTGTTCAGGGGTATCTGTTATTCGAACCCACGATCCTAAACATCTGGCAGGAACCACTGCATTGTGAATTGTGGCGCCTGAAGCGACCTGCCACCCCACCCCACCCCACCCCCCACCCTACCCCGCCCACACTTCATTCGATACATGATACACTTAACTCGATGCATGAAACAGTCATCTAGACACATGAAACACTTAACTCGATGCTTGAAACACTAAACTCGATACTTGAAACACTAAACTCGATACATGAAACACTAAACTCGATACATGAAACAGTCATCTAGACACATGAAACAACTCGATACATGAAACACTAAACTCGATACATGAAACACTAAACTCGATACATGAAACACTAAACTCGATACTTGAAACAGTCATCTAGATACATGGAACACTAAACTCGATACATGAAACACTAAACTCGATACTTGAAACAGTCATCTAGATACATGGAACACTAAACTCGATACATGAAACACAAAACTCGATACTTGAAACAGTCATCTAGATACATGGAACACTAAACTCGATACATGAAAAAGTCATCTAGACACATGAAACAACTCGATACATGAAACACTGAACTCGATACATGAAACACTAAACTCGATACATGAAACAGTCATCGAGACATATAACACATTCACTTGGTGCATGAAACACTCAACTCGATACATGAAACAGTCATCGAGACATATAACACATTCACTTGGTGCATGAAACACTCAACTCGGTAGACGAAACAGTCATCCCTACAAGAAAAGTCAACTCGATATTCGAAACGGCCAACTTGATGTGTTTACATATTGCCATGAACGCTGCTATTTCGAAATAACCCTAATAAAATAATTGAAATAACGACAAAATAATCGAACTAACGAGAAAAATTGAAATTACCAAAATATAATCGAAGTAACGAGAAGAAACTTGATTTTGTTAAAAAAATAAACTAAAATATTGACATAACGAGCAATTTCGATGAAAGCAAAATAATATAATACCAAAGTGGCACCAATAGGCCTTCGTCCTGTTAAACCAGATTCCACCGTACATCGTTTAACATACATACAGTAGTACTTTGTCTAAGATAAACAAGCTCTTACTGTTGGCAAACTGCACGCTAAGACAAAGTGCAGTGACAGCAATAGAGACCGATCCGATCCGTAGTACAAAATCTGTTCAATATCACCTCCCCTCTGGGGTTTAATACCTTCTGGAAATGCAATTGTCAGGTCTGACGGCAGTAAAGCATAGACTTACTTCAATAATCACGATATATGTCTAACGGAATCAAGTCCTGACGTCAGAAGACAGGAGGATGTGAAGCAAGAAAATGGTTATGTTGTCTGTAGTCGGGCCGCATCGACGAACGTGACTCGTCTGTGTGGCTCTTTCCAAACACAAGCATGACAGTCCATATAATTCTGTAAACACAAGTAGCTTTTCCTGTTTAAAATAATAAAGCCTAACGACTTAAAAAATATCTGAGCATGCTCATACCTGAAGTACAGCGGTATATAAATTAATAATTATTATCATTTCCCTTTTCAGACCAGCCGAGTTCATCCAAGTGAAGGACTCTACAGGGTTGCTGGACTTCTCAACACACTGCACAAAAACTCGATGCAGAGGTTGTTCAGATGGCCCTCTCCTTGAAAAACTGTGTCTGGGCCGATTTAATATGGCACTCCGCTTGGTTGACACCCATTTCTGTACCGCCCAGCACTAAAGAACCATCAACAAAATCAACATTGACATTGCGATTATGTCCCACATCCTTGGCTCGTTTTAGAAAACTGTTGAATGCCTTGTTTTCATCATGAGTCTTGACATGCTTCTCAAGAGGATCATCAGACAAATAAATGTCTGTAAAGTGCACAAAACAATTCTATCAGGAAGAGCATACAGGTTAATGAAAACACACCCTCCCACTATAATTGGTAAAAATATGCGATTGAGGGAAGAGCGAGGGTGGTGGGATCTATTGTCTGACATGATTCTTCGTGTGAGGGTGTCAGTACCCTGAATTTCTTGTTTCGTCCAATCAACAACACCAAAATAATACGAAAGGACGAATACAGCATAAATATTTGTGGCTTTGACTTTACTGATAGATTTTCTCAAGGACATGCCATCATCATTAGTAAAAGGACTCGACAATAGAAGTATTTTTAGAGTGGTTTCTCCTCTGGCAATAAGTTCAAGGTCATCCATGTGCAGGGGGTGAGTGAGGGGTGTTGCAGATCTGTGCTGGGGAAGTCCAGGATGATAGCATTTCCTCTT